TGGTAGATCAAGCTCAGCATCCTCTGACAAAGTTTGTACTGTTTAAATTTATCATCTTTTCTTCTGAATATCCAGTTGTGTATCAGCTGTTCATCATTTCATGGCTCTATTGCAAATGGCACTTATTCAAAAAGGAGCAGGGCCAATTTCCCTGGTATCCTGGTCAATATTTATGTCTCAGCCAACATCATGAAAATAAATTATATAGTCATTATCACACACCATAACTGTTTATGAGAGCTTACTGTGGGCAACTTGGCTGCCACATTTCCTACCCCTTGGCCACATCGGAATATGTGTCTGCACTTTTGATGTACTTCATTGGCTTTAAAGCATTGTGGAAAAACCAGAGGCTATGATTCCAGTCTGCAACTTATTCCCAATGAATATCCTGTAAAACTTCTTTAAATGGCAAATTCCAGGTTCCAGCAAGAGCTGTAACAAATTGCTGTAGATGAAATACGATAAAATATCACACTTCTGTTTTTATATCCTGCCAGTATTTTGTTCCCTTCTTTCATGACACAAGTAGACGCACGTGGGGACTGTGACACAATACAATGTGGACAGCCCTCAAGTACCATATCTAACTGGTTATTCTCCCTATGTTAGGTAAAACTGAACATGCTCTGATAATGTTTGCACTCTTCAAATTAACCTATTTTTTTTTCTGAATAATCAGCTGTTCATTGTTTTATGACTTTATTCCAACACAAATTACCAGACCTATTGGGGATAGGAACCACAGTAGATTTTTCACAATCCCAAGTCAGGAGCACTAATAAAGTATTTTTCACCCTCTTCTGCTCCTGGTACCTTCATTGGAATGAACTTGATACACATTTGCCTGGTTTTGAAGTACACCAGGTGTAATACATACCCACTGAACTTCCAAGGTATTACAAACAATTCCAATTTTTATTATTTGAAACTTAAAACCATGGTCTGGTTTATTTCCATGAAAACTAACTGTAAGGTTTCTTGTAGGGCCAGGGAAGTGGTACTAATAAGACAGATTTTCCAAGGAGCCAGCACAACACAGTAGGCCAAATGTCCTTTCTCTGTATGGTAAGATCTTTTGATTTGATAAGATATGGACAATTTGGGATACACTTACCAGGTTTGCTATTTGTTCAACATCTTTTTTCCCTCATGTAGAATATTAGCCAATAAAGTATTGTTCTGGAAATGAAACCTGGTATGCTAAGGATGAGAAATGGCAATTTCAATAGCTCCCTTTTAAAAAAACCTGGTCTCATCTCCATCTTGGATGAGTCAAAATTGATAAAATTACACTAACTTGTGCCTTGTAAATGTTGGACAGACAATGGGGAGAAAGGAGGTGAGTTACTTGCCGCAGAATTTTTAGAATCCTGTAGTTATGGTCCAGTCAGGTTCTGGTTAATGGCTGCCCCAGGAATCCGAAGAGATAGTGAGAAAAGAGATAAGTCTGGGGCTGATACAGTTGACAAGTGGAGCAAGTCAAATAGTCAAGGCAGGCAAGGGCAAGGCAGAAAACGATGTAAGGCTGATAAATTAAGCTGTACTAATTTCAATGCAAGTGGCCTGACAGGTAAGGCAGATGAACTCAGACTATGGACGGGAACATGGGACAGAGATATCATAGCTATTACAGAAACATGGCTCAGGGAAGGGCAGGACTGGCAGCTTAATTTTCCAGAGTACAGGAAGGATGAAAATGGGGGCAAGAGAGGAGGGGAAGTGGTGTTTTTGGTTAGGGATAATATTATGGCTGTATTTAGAGAGGATATTCCTGGAAGTACGTTCAGTAAAGTTATTTGGGTGGAACTTAGAAATAAGAAAGGGATGATCATCTTATTGAGTTTGTACTATAGGCCTCCCAAAAGTCGGCGGAAATTGAGTAGCAAATTTGTAAGGAGGTCTCAGTTATCTTTAAGAATAATAAGGTTGTAAAGGTAGGGAATTCTAACTTTCCAAACCTAGATTGGGATTGGCATAATGTTAAGGACTTGGATGGAGGGGGATTTGTTAAATGTGTACAATAAAACTTTCTTATTAATTTAGTGGGTGTACCTTCTAGAGAGGGAGCCAAATTTGAACTTCTCTTGGGAAATAAGGCACGGCAAGTGACTGAAATGTCAGTGGGGGAGCACTTTGGCGCCAGCGACCATAATTCTAATAGTTTTAAAATAGTTATGGAAAAGGCTAGACCTGATCAAAAAGTTGAAGTTCTAAATTGGACAAAGGCCAATTTCAATGGTATTAGGCAAGAACTTTCAAAGTTGATTGGGAGAGGCTATTTGCAGGTAAAGGGACAGTTGGAAAGTGAGAGGCCTTCAAAAATGAGATAATGAAAGTCCAGAGAAGGTATGTTTCTGTTAGTGTGAAGGGCAAAGCTGGTAAGTGTAGAGAATGCTGGATGACAAGAGAAATTGAGGCTCTGGTCAAGAAAAAGAAGGAGGAATATGGCAGGTATGGACAGCTAGGATTGAGCAAATCTGTAGAGGAGTATAAGTGCAGTAGAAGTATACTCAAGAAGGATATCAGAAGGGCAAAAAAGGAACATATAACTTTGGCATATAGGGTTAAGGAGAATGCAAAGAGATTCTACAATTACATTAAGGACAAAAGAGTAACTGGGGAGAGAATAGGGCCCCTTAAAGATCAGCAAGGCTGCATACGTGGTGAACCGCAAGAAATGGGTGAGATACTAAATTAATATTTGGCATCAGTATTTACTGTGGAGAAGGACGAGGAAGCTACGGAACTTGGGAAAATAAATAGAGTTATCTTGAAAAGTGTCCATATTATAGAAGAGGAGGTACTGGATGTCTTAAAATGCTTGCTTTGTGCACCTCCTGTGCAGCCACAACCTTGTATTCCTTGCTCTGTCTAAGCACCCTCTGATGTGTATGTCCTTGTTTGCTATGATCACCCTGTACTGCTCTTAAAACAAACCTTTTCACTGTACTTAGGTACATGTGACAACATTAAATCAAATCAAATCAAAGCATAAAGGTGGATAAATCCCTGGGACCTGATCAGGTGCATCCCAGAACTTTTGTGGGAAGCTAGGGAATTGATTGCTAAGACCCTTGCTGAGATATCTATATATCCTCAATAGTCACAGGTGAGGTGCCGGAAGACTGAACTGTGGCTAATATGGTGCGATTATTTAAGAAAGTTAGTAAGTAAAAGCCAAGGAACTATCAATCAGTGAGCTTGAGGTTAGTGATGGGCAAGTTGTTGGAGGGGATTCTGAGAGACATTTACATGTATTTGGAAGGTCAAGGTATGATTAGGGATCTTCAACATGGCTTTGTGCGTGGAAAGTTGTGTCTTACTAACTTGATTGAGTTTTTTGAAGAAGTAACAAAGAGGTGGACATGATCTCTATGGACTTCAGTAAGGTGTTCGACAAGGTTCTTCATGGTAGACTGGTTACCAAGGTTAGAATATATGGAGAACTAGCCATTTGGATACAGAACTGTCTCGAAGGCAGAAGGCAGAGAGTGATGTTGGACAGTTGCTTTTCAGACTGGAGACCTATGACCAGCGGTGTGCCATATGGATCAGTGCTGCGTCCACTGATTTTCAACGTCTATATAAACAATTTGGATGTGAAGGTAGGAGGTATGGTTGACAAGTTTGCAGATGACACCAAAATTGGAGGTTTAGTGGCCAGCGAAGAAGGTTACCTCAGAGTACAAGGGGATCTTGATCAGATGGGCCTATGGGTTGAGGAATGGCAGATGGAGGTAATTTAGATAAATGTGAGGTGCTGCATTTTGGAAAGGCAAATCAGGGCGAGAATTATACACTTAATGGTAAGGTCCTGGGGAGTGTTGCTGAACAAAGTTATCTTGGAGTGCAGGATCATAGCTCCTTAAAAGTCGAGTTGAAGGTAGATAGAATGATGAAGAAGGTGTTTGGTATGATTACCTTTACTGGTCAGTGCATCGAGTAAAGAAGTTGGGAGGTCATGTTACAGCTGTACAGGACATTGGTTAGACCACTTCTGGAATACTGCATTTAATTCTGGTCTCCCTGCTATAGGAAAGATTTTGCCAAGCTTGAAAGGCTTCAGAAAAAATTTATAAGGATGTTGCTGAGACTGAAGGCTGAAAGGCTGGGGCTATTTTCCCTGGAGCATCTGAGACTGAGGGGTGAGCTTATAGAGGTTTATAGAATCGTGAGGAGCACAGGTAGGGTGAATAGCCAAGGACTTTTTCCCAGGGCAGGGGAGTCCAAAACTGGAGGGCACAGGTTTAAGGTGAGAGGGGAAAGATTTTAAACGGACCTAAAGGGCAACATTTTCACACAGTGTCAGAGGATGTGGTAGAGGCTGGTACAATTACAACATTCAAAAGACATATGGACGAATGTGGTGTGGAGTGGACGAGTTGAACTGAAGTGCCTGTTTCTGTGCTATACACCTCTGTGACTATGACTCTATGTGATGTCCCCTTGGTAATAAGGAGGTGGGCGGGGGGCACTGGTTTCAGGAAATTAAACACTTAAATGGAACAAAATACCAGTTCTGAAGAAGTCATACGAGACTTAAAACATTAACCTTGTTTCTATTTCCACAGATGCTGCCGGTTTCTCCAGCATTTCTGTGCTTGTTTAAAAGCAAGATACCGTGGATGCCGAAAATCTGAAATAAAAACAGAATGTGCTGGAGAAACTCTAAGTGTGGCAGCATTTGTGGAGAGAGAAACAAAGTTAACGTTTCGACTCCAAATGAGCCTGAGAACTGAGAAGTCATAAGTGATCCTGTCTCGCCCCACAGGTTGCGAGAGTTTCTCCAACACTTTCTGTTTTTTTAAAATCTTTTCATCTAAGAGTCTGCTCGGGGTGGGGAGTTGCAGGGACACTCGGCTCTTTAGCCACGGTTTGTTTGTCGAACATCCAGGACTGCAGGAGGCAGCACCGGACACGCCGTTAGCAAAGCAGCTGAACATTTGACAGCTGTGAGGTACTTCCTGAGCTTTCAGGAACTTCTTGGCGCACACTGAAGCGGTGACTAGACAGGACAGTTGTTATTTTTGACTTTGCATTTGCTGTGGATAAATGCTTTTTTAACTTTGACGTTCCCGTGGGATCCCTGAAGTGTTCAGATAGTCTTACAAGGGGATGATCGCTGGGGCGAATGGAATGTTGACCCTGATTGAGAGACAAATGGATACTTAGTGAATTGTAACAACTTTGTGACCAGCAGCGGGTAATGTCTTAGCGTCGGACTGCTACTCTGAAACTGCTATTATTACAGTAATTATTGTATCCTTTAAACAGGAGTGCACTCTCTCCGCGTGCAGTCTATAGATTTGGTTCGAGAGAAACGCAAAGGTACAAATGTCCTAACTTTTCGAATAGTTGCGCGGAGTTTAATGTTGCTTTTAAACGGCCGAATTTGGAGTTGAACTGTGTTTTCGTCATGCCGCTCCACCCCTGTTCAATGATAAAGTGCTCCGGTGGATTCAGTTAGTCTGATACAGCTAGTAGCTCGACCGCAGTCATAGTTGCTGGCTCTCCCGTAACCTTATTGTAGTTTCAAATAACGACGTTTCGGGCGTGTATAAGCTCGCAGTTAAACAGTCTGGTTCTCAGCTTTGCGTGTTCATCTCACCCCACCCCCTTCACTGTTGCAAGTCTTCCTTTTGAATGTCTTGCCTTGACTCACTTGTCACACTTAGCTCCCCTGAGTCAGAAGGTTCACTTCAGAGATTTAGGCTTGCAATTGTATAACTCTTTCCATGACCCTTAAAGGGCTGTACAACCAATAAATTGCTTTTTGAACGTTTGTAGTCGCTGTTGTAATGTAGGAAACACGGTAGCGTGCTCACAGCAAACCCTCACCATAGTATGATAATGACCAGTTAATATGCATTTGTAGTGTTTTTGAAGAATAAACATTGGGCAGTACTTCTTCCAAACAATGTGAGATTTTTTTTAACGTCCACGGAGCAGGCAGACGGTCCTCAGTTGAATGTTTCGTTCAAAAGACTGTAGCCCTGGCAGTGCCGAGTTCACTCAACACTGATGTATCAGATTTGTGTTTTTTTTTGTGCACTGGTCCTGAAGTGGGATTTGAACCTGGAACATTGTGACTCAGAGGCAAATGGGGAGGACACTCCAGCATAAATACCTATGCTCATGCTCCAAAGCAGTATTGAGGAGTGTCAGTGATGCAGTCTTCAAATGTGATGTTAAACTGAAGCCCAGTTTCCCCTTACAGTTTGATGTGTAAGGTCCCAAGGCACTGTTTCAAAGAGCAGAAGACCTTTCTCTGAGATCCTGGTCAATATTTATCCCTCAATTGACAGTACAAAATGAACAAGTTATCTGGTTATTGTATTACTGTGGACAACTTGGTGCCATATGTTTTCTGTTTTCTCTCATGGGTGTCATGTTTATGATAATGCCATTGTGTGCACATGCACAGAATTGGAGTGTTGCTTTCAAAGTTGCATCCAACAGCAGAGCACCATTTATTTTAAAGAAATATAAATAAGGTCACCAGAGCTGAAGAAATACCAGGTCATTTGGCAAGAGCCCTTGGGAGAAGCCTTCACAGTGCTGATGATATTTGGATATTTTACAAATTGTATTTACTATGTTTTTATAGTCTGTGTGTTTTACAGCTATTTACCCAGTTCTGATTTTCCTTCAGGGCTGCCCTTTTCTGCTATTTTTAAAAGATATTTAGTCATTTAATTTGATCAATATCTTATTTGATGTCTATGTGGCTTGCAGTTTTTGAAGTGTATCAGGAGCTTTTTGTCAAAACTTTGCTCCTGATCCTTGTTGCCGTTGGTGTATCAATGCAGTTACAGCTGCTTGGTGCCACCCTACCTCCATTGGGCAACAGGTCTGCAATCAATTACTAAGATCTGATGCTGAAATGACAAAGGCTGTAATTCATAAAACATAGAACATAGAACGCAGAAGAGTACAGCACAAAAACAGACTCTTCGGTCTACCGTCTGTGCCAACCTTTATATCATTCTAAAGAAATCCGATCTGCCTGCACATGGTCCATATGCCTATATTTCTTCCTGTCTATGCGTCTGTCTAAATGCCTCTTAAGCATTACTATTTAATCTCCTACTACCTCCCCTGGCAGCACATTCCAGACATGTACTGTCCTCTGCATTTTCTAAAATAAATTTTCCTTGCACATCTCCTTTTAAACTTTTCTCATCTTACTTTAAACCTCTTACCCCTAGCATTTGATATTTCCACCCTCGATAAAGATTCTGACTATCCACCCTACCCATGCCTCTCATAAGTTTTATGTCCTTCTATCAGGTCGCCCTTCAGCCTCCGATGCTCTTGTGAAAACAATCCAAGTTTGTCCACCCTATCCTTATAGCTAATGCAATCCAATCCAGGCAACATCCTGGTAAACCTCTTTGAATCCTCTCCGCATTCTTCCTATTGTGTGGCAACCAAAATGGCACACAGTATTCCAAATGTGGGGTAACTAAAGTTTTGTATAGTACAGTTGATTACAACTCATTTAAAATATAACGTGGAAGTCCTTCTTCCCCCTTAGTATTTGTGCCAGAGTACAGAGCAATGGTTGCAAAATTGTGCTTTAAGACCATAACGAATAGAAGCAGAAGCAGAAGCAGATCACTTGGCCCCTTGATCCTGCTGTGCCATTGAATACAATCTTGGCTGATTTGTCCCATTCCTGTCCTCTCCTGGTATCTTGATTCCCTGGTAAATTAAACAACTGTTTATCTACCTGCATACAATAATGGAATATCTTCAACTCTCTTTGGTTGAGAATTGTAAAGGTTTACAACCCTCTGACTGAAGAGATTATTGAAAAGAGAAGCATGTTACTGAAGTGTTTTTTCTTTGTGCTCATCAGGACAAACACAAGTCTGCCAAATTCCAAATGAGCACAACAATTTATACTGCAGGAGGAAGGGGTGCTGATTGGTTAATAAATTGACCTTTGAGGCATTGCCATGGAGAAAACAACAGGAGCTATAGACTCCCTAAGTTCCGGGCTTTTTTTCTGGAAAAAAAAAGACAATGCATAAATATAATCCTTCTTTGTGTAGAGAATGGATCCCTTTGAATGTATACCACTGCAAGAGAGTGTACATAAGTCTCTATAATAATGTTAAAGGCTCCATTGATTATTTTAAATTGGCTGTTGGTGTAGCCATTAATGTACAGGGAAGTTCTGCAGTTGGGCAGTACTGGCTGAATCACATTTAACAGATACTTTGTTTGCAAGAGCATGCTGCACTGTGTCAATTATGAACAATTGAAGGAACATGTAGTTTGATTTGATCAACTGATCACTGGGGACATAGGGCCAAAATACCTGATAATAAAGTGCATCAATGCTTCTCTTTGGGGCAGTGGTCATCCTGATCAGAGTGTTGTTTGCTATGTATCATGCAAACTGATAATTAGTGTAGCATTAATAGCTACACCAACAGCCAATTTTACACAATCAATGGAGCCTTTAACATTAATACAGAGATGTATGTACGCTCTCTAGCAGCGACATAAGTAGGCCGTAGGTCCCTATCTTTGGACCTAAGAAGTACCTAGCCTGCTGCAAATTAACCTGGAAAAACAAAGTATCTCCAAATGTGATTAAGCAAGCTATTACTATGCAAAGGCTACACAAGTGGTATTTCCCACTTGCAGGATACTGCAGTAAATCCAGAAAAATTTTCTGCCTGCTACACAATTGTGTAACATCATGTTTCACACCTGGTTGTGGTGATCGTAATGAGGTCAGCCAGATGGACAGATCAGGGCTGTTAATTTGGGAGCCGTGGCTGACCAATAAGAGCAGGAGTGTCAGACATCCTGTTCACTCTGAGGAAGCTGGATCAGAGTCAAGTGAATAGGCTGGGGCTATTTTCCCTGGAGCGTCGGAAGCTGTGGGGTCACCTTTATATTAGTTTATAAAATCATGAGGGGCATCGATAGAGTGAATAGCCCAGATCTTTTTCCCCAGGGTGGGGGCGCAACTTTTTCAGAGGAATGAACTGTCGGAGAAGGTGGTGCAGGTTGGTACAACTACAACATTGAAAAGGCATCTGGGCGGTTACATGAAGAGGAAAGGTTTAGGGGGATATGGGCCAAATGCTTGCAAATGGGACTTGATTAATTTAGGATATCTGGTGAGTCGGACCAAAGGGATTGTTTCCATGCTGCATACACCTCTATAACTCCATGATTCTATGACTCTCCACATGTAAATGGTGACTTGATGATGAAATATCGGCTTCTCTGGGGTTATTTCACTAGTGTGTTGTTGTGGTTTCTAGAAATGACTTCCATTAGTATGTAGGGACTCATTATGTATACAGATAAAAGGAATACGGTCCACATTGGGTCTTACTTGAAGCAACCATGGGCTTGGGGAACCTATCGTACCCCTTTTCTTTCTCCACAGCAATGCCTCAGCCAGAGTTGGCTTGCTAGCTTCCTTTTTTTCTGTAACATAAATTCATTTGGTTGTTTGGCGTTTGGCATTCTTGTATTTGGCCTGATGAATACAAATGAAAAGGTTTGGATAATAGTAGCCTGATGTAGATATTTTTGTTGTCCACATATTCCAGGGGTGAGTGTAGGGCCGGGGAGATGGCGTCTGCTGTGTACCTGTTGTGCCGGTAGGCAAATTGCCAAGGATCAAGGCAATCTTTTAGGTTGACGTGTGCCATGAAATAACCTCTCGAAGCATTCCATAATTGTGGGCATCAGAGCCACTGGGTGGTAGTCATCAAGGCACGCTGCATGATTTTTCTTTGGCACTAGGATGATGATGGTCTTATTTAAGCACATTGGGACTTCAGATCATGGTAAGGAGATGTTAGAGATGTCAATGAGTGTGCCAACCTGCTGGTCTGCACGGGAGCTGGGTGCACGACTGGGGATGTCAAATGGGCCGATCGCTTTCTGTGGGTTCACTTTCAAGAAGGCTGATCTAATGTCTGTGGCACGGACTGTGGGTACAGGTACATCCGAGGTTGTTGGGATAGGTGATATCGTTTCATTGACCTGCTCAAAGTGAGCGTAGAATGCATTGAGCTCATTGGGTGAGGATGCACTGTTGCCTGCGATTCTGTTCGACTTCGCTTTGTAGCCTGTTGAGGTGGGGGAGTTCAAAACTAGGGGGCATATCTTAAGGTGAGAGGAGAAAGAATTATAAAGGGTGTGAGGGGCAACTTTTTTTTAAACAGAGTGGTTAGTGCATGGACTGAACTGCCAGAGGAACTAGTGGATGCAGGTAAAGTTACAACATTTAAAAGACATTTGGATAATCACATGAATCGGAACAGTTTGAAGGGATATGGGCCAAATGCAGG